TGCGTTCTTGCATCTTTGTGTTTCTTCGCTAATATGTTTTGTGTTTGCCACTTTTGCCACCACATTTGTCAATTCCACCATCATATTTGCTTCTATAAACCACCGCATTATCAATGCAAAAGAAAAGTTAAAGGTAACAAAACCATAAACAAATAGAAAACACAAAAAAGAAAAATGATGAAAGCAAAAAGGAAAAATAATTTATCTAAAAGTAAGAGGAGGAGGAGAAGGAGAACGAATAAAGAAAAAGGTAACTAAATAAAAAATAAGAGTCAGGAGTTAAAAAAACATAAATTGCATTTTTTGAAATTTTATGTCAAGTGTTGTTTCACCTGGCATAGAAAGTTTTTTTCTATGTCGGGTTTTATTGCACTTGTAATAAAAAGGATTGGGATTTTATTACAAAATTGACTCTCTTCAATACATTCTATGATGTGTTAACTTATCGAACATAGAATTTTTTATTTTTCTTTTATTATAGGTCAATCAACACTCACCATAAAAACTTTTATCCTATTTAAAATGTTGTCAACATGTTACTTTTTATATCGTGTGGATTACACCTAACATAACTTTATCATAAATAAACCTTTTTACACTAGTATTTTAATAAAAGATGTCAAAGATTGGTTTTATTAACCTTTCTCACATGTAAAATTCCCAATTATTATCTAATTTAAGTAATTATTTAATTAATTCAACAACCAACAAAAATATTTTAATCCTAATTTCTAAAGCAAGAAATTCTAAGTTCCTTAATAAAAGTGATCTTAATCCTTGGTGAAATTAATTAAGCAATCCGCTTTAAAACCAAAAGTTTCAAAGTTGATTAATAATTATTATCCTATTACTAATAATAAATATTATTAGTGTTATTCACTACATTATAGTTTTAAAAGGATTTTTCAATCTTGATTGATCATATAGGATCATACAAATGGTAGCTAAGCCAAAATGTAACATTGTTAAAAAAAAAAAAAAAAAAAGAAGAGGCTGTGTCACATCTAATTAACCATCCCTCAAATAAAATCTTTGATATAATAACTTTAAATATTTATGTTGAATATTGTGGTAATATTTTGATATTTAATTATATTTTAAATAAAAACTTTAAGATAACAAATTGTCACAACTTGCACCATTAAGTTCTAGAATCAAGAGAATGTTACATTCAAATAATTCCTTTTTAAAATGATAGTTATTATGAATATACATGTTGATAATAAATATCACGGTAATTATTATTACTATTATTATTATTATTATTATTGTTGTTATTATTATTGTAGTCTAAATGGATTAAAAATTATGTAAACGTCTAACACATTTATATAAAGAAACAACTTAATCACATAAAATCAACCAAACTAATTTTGTTAAAACAAGAAACAAATACCATCATCTAAGATTAGGAGAATGCCAAATTTAAATAATTTTTTTTTATTTTTCCTAAAAAAATAAATGTTATTAATATTTGATATAATAATAGTAATAATAATAATTATTATCCATATCTTTAAAGTAACACGAGAACTCAATATATGGATACAAATAAAGTAATTAATTTTGCTGTAAAATAAAATAAACTCTGCTAGTCATATTAATTGTTACGCATCTTGGAACAAGGAAAAGAAAAATTTGATTGAGTGGTATACTCATTGTTACGCATTTTGGAAAAAGGAAAAGAACAAAAAAGAAAAAAAATGATTGAACAATTTCAGGGATGTTTGTTTCTAAATGGGCTTTAGCCCACATGGTCCCAAAAACGGAAAAAAGAAAAGAAAGGAAACAGTGATATTGAACCACTTGAGCCCACACAAAAAAAAAAATAGACAAAAGAAACAGAAAGGGAAAAAACATAAATAAGTGGCATTAAGCCACATTTCACGCAGCAGTAGAGCAAAAAGGAGAAAAAGGTGAGTGGGACTAAAACCCTCGCATTAGGGTTACACAAGCCCTATGTGGCTTCTTTGGCTCCGTAATGGTGTCGGCCATTGACGTTGCGAAGGGGGAAAGAAGATGGCGGTAACGGAGTGGGTTGCGAATAAGGAGGAGGTTCATGGCAGCTTGACCCGCTTTGGCTTGCCGTGGCTGCGCACGACAAGTGCGTAAGGAAGAAGATGGACACGCATACCGCTGTCACCGAAAATCACCTTCGGTACCGCCGTCGCCGGAAATCGCCTCCAGTGGCGGCAAACGGCGGTGCACGGCTCACGGCGGCTTATTCATTTATATTTCCCTGGTAGTATTCATTAACCCCCTTTTTTATTTATTTTTATTTGTTTTCTATTATGACTAGGTTTTATTCGTTACAACCTTTAGGGCTTACTGAAGTTTTAGAAGAAAGGTTTCGATTCCATGATAAAAGATTCATAAAAAATTTTTAATTAATTAAATAACTTAATTATAATTTATAAAATATTTATCTCACTAAAATGATCAAATATATTTTATTTAACTAATTTAACTAATGCATTAAAAAAGTTAAAATTATTATTGTTATATAAAAGGAAGATAATATATTTTTTATTTTTTTGGCTCGAAAAGATTTATTTCTTGCTCCTACGTATCTCCATGTGTAATGAAGAATCAGAGTCACGTAGTTCTTTGGTAGAAAATATTTATGTGTTGATATTTTTTAATATAGGATTCTTGAACTGTCTCAACTCATTCACCTTAAAAATATAAAATTGACTAAGGTGTACACCAAAGTCAATTCAATAAAATTTTAATTATGATTATTGCTATAGATATTATTATCTTAAAAGATTTTTTGGTTGGATATTTCATTTTGGAGGAAAATCTAAAAATATCAAGTTGTCACAACTTATACCTTAAATTTAAAGGTTAAAAAGATGTCACATCTAATTAACCATCCCTCAAATAAAATCTTTGATATAATAACTTTAAATATTTATGTTGAATATTGTGGTAATATTTTGATATTTAATTATATTTTAAATAAAAACTTTAAGATAACAAATTGTCACAACTTGCACCATTAAGTTCTAGAATCAAGAGAATGTTACATTCAAATAATTCCTTTTTAAAATGATAGTTATTATGAATATACATGTTGATAATAAATATCACGGTAATTAACAATTAATTGAATAAAAAATTTAATTGAATGAAAACATGAAAGAGTTACATGGGTCAAGAAACTATATCAATCCTTAATAACAAGTGAATTAGCTACTCATGGTTAATGAGATTGTAGAAAGAAACAAAGGGAGGCTTTCAAGACTGTGATGCCTAATGTTAATTACTTTATTTTGTAAATCTTTCTTAAATATATAATATGTAAAGTGTCATTATGATTTCTCTAACTCTTATTTTTATAAGATTTTAAATGAGTTTTCTTTCAACATAGACTTACAGTGTCCACTCGCTCAAAGCAATTAGCTATCTCACTTAAGCGAGTATTTCATGAGTACTTTCAATAGTATCTATGCTCTTGCTCACTTTAGCAGTCAAGTTACTTGCTTGAGTGAGAATAAGATTACTCAAGGTGTACTTCACTTTCACTTTGAGTGAAGCTCCTTATGCTAAACTTTTTTATTTTTTATTGGCCTAAGCTCTTTCATTTATCCTTATATCTCAAAAACTAACAAAAATATCAAAAACACCTAAAACTTAAAGATATTAATTAATTAAAGGGACCAAATTAAAAAACTTATTTTTTTTTATAAAAACATGCATGATTCTAAATAATAAAATATATTTAATAATTACCTAAATTAAGTAAAAGATATTAACACATTTAACAATTAACATGTCCTCCGATTCACCATTTGCCTCAAACGTCTCTGCCTTTTCCTCATCCGCAATACTCTCTTCGCCATCATCAACATTAACCACACTTTATCAACATATTACAATAAATATTAAATATAGTGACATACAAAAACTAAACTGTCACTATAAGTATAATATATGTAAGTATATATTTATTTGACATATTTTAGGTATATATCTATTTAACAATATATTTTGTGTGTCACTATAGTTTATACCCACACTTTTTTAATAATATATCAACATATATTATATTTATTGTGTAAGTAAAAGTAATTTTTAATAATACTTATTGTGTACTATATATAAAATATGTATTAATATACGACTTGTAGTGACACCTTCCCAAATAGTCGATCCTCCAATTTTCATCAATCTCATCACTCCCAAATTCTGTAGAGGTAATCATTACTGTGCAAGACAAAATATGCAATTGGACATTCATTAAAATTGAAATAGTGAAAAGTATATCTTGATAACAATTTTGCAAATTCTAGAAGTAAATTAATCGATATTGCTTGATGCCACAAAAAGTAAACTACAAGAAAACGACACCCTTACCTCATAAAAAGCAATCAACTTGCTTAAGGGGTCGGGTTGAACATATAAATTTAATCTTATCAGAATTCAACGGGTTGGCCATAATTACATAAATTTAATCTTATCAGAATTCAACGGATTGTATTAAAATCAATTTATGTAATTTTTTTAAATACAACTAAATCCAACTAGATTAGAACAGATTGAATTATATTAATCGAATTAATATAATTAAATTTATTTATTTATTATAAAAATTTAAAAATTTCACAATAGATATAAATTATTTAATATTTTATCATAAATACAGTATTTATTAATTTAAAAGTATTTATTTATTAAATATTATTTATATTTAAAATATTTATTTATTATAAAATTTAGTTATACAACATAAACAATTATTCTATACATGCAAATTCTTAAATACTATTAAAAAATATTTCTCAAAATTAAATATCAGAACTTTTATTATCACATTTTTTTTTTTTTGATAAGCCATCCCATTTTATTATCTTCACATTTTCTCTGTTTATAGTGACCTAGCGTTACCCAGTGCTATCTGATTTTATGATGTTTTTTTGCTTATGTCCCTATATATAAGTTTCTAATAAGAGTTTCACAACATATTGTTTTCTTCCACCTCTTAGGATTAGGCCACAATGGTGCCACTACTTCTAATTTTATGCCTTACTCTTCCCGTGCTTTTGTTATTCTTCTTCCAATACCGCAGAAACTTAAAGAACCCACCCCTTCCACCTGGTCCTAGAGGCCTTCCCATTATAGGGAATCTTCATCAGCTCAATAGTTCTTCTCTTCATCTTCAGCTATGGCAACTTTCAAAGAAATATGGCCCTCTATTTTTCCTTCAATTAGGTTTAAGGCCAGCCATAGTTATTTCCTCATCTAAATTGGCCAAAGAGGTTATGAAAGACCATGACCTTGAGTGTTGTGGAAGACCTAAACTACTTGGCCAACAGAAATTGTCCTACAATGGGTTAGAGATGATATTTTCCCCATATAGTGACTTTTGGAGAGAAATTAGGAAACTTTGTGTTGTCCATGTCCTTAGCTCTAGACGTGTCTCTAGATTTTCCTCAATAAGGCAATTTGAGGTCAAACAAATGATAAAGAAAATATCTAACCATGCTTCATCTTCGAAGGTTACAAATTTGAATGAAGTGCTAATGCGTCTCACTAGCACCATGATATGTAGAATAGCCTTTGGGAGAAGATATGAAGATGAAGGAACCGAAAGAAGTAAGTTCCATGGGATGCTGAATGAGTGTCAGGCCATGATGGCAACTTTCTTTTTCTCGGATTATATTCCTTTCTTGGGTTGGATTGATAAACTCAAGGGACTGCATGCTCGTCTTGAAAGAATTTACAATGAATTGGATAAGTTCTACCAGGATGTTATTGATGAACACATGGATCCCAAAAGAAAGACTCCAGAGAATGAGGATTTCATAGATGTCTTATTTCAATTGAAGAAGCAACGTTCGTTTTCCATAGATCTCACAAATGATCACATCAAGGCGGTGTTGATGGTTTGGACTTCTTATCCACCACTTATTTAATTTGTCTATTTCTCTAATAAAAATAGCATAATATATTCGCACACACAAAATACATCATTGTTACGTCATATATATAGATTAGAGAGGTGGGGTATGCGGAGAATATTGTGGAGTACAGACTATATGAATCAACTTTATATATATATATATATATATATATATATGGTAATGAAGCTAGGCCACATGTCTTACTAATTCTGACATAAACAAACGTGTAGCTAGTGTTGAGAAGTGGACAAAAGTAAAGGCAGATTCTCGTGCCATATATTCAAGTGAATGTTAAGCACCATCGGTCCCCAAGGATAATGTGGTCCTCAATTTTCATTATTAATTTCTATTTTTTTATCATAAACTAATTTTATCATGAGACCTGAATTAATTTGCAGAAAAAATCTACATGCCAGTGTGTCACAATTAAATTATTACTAAGGCTTCCCTCGAAATGAATCCAATTTTTTTTCTAATAAGAGTCTAGTTCAGATTGTTGAGTAGAGTGTATAAATGTTTTAAAGTCTTTGATACTAAATTTAATTTTCATTTATTATAAAAAAATAAAAAAAAAACTAATTTTGTCAAAATCTTTTTCAAATCAATTATCAACGGCTGATTTCTTTCTGTAGGACATGCTTGTAGCAGCAACAGATACAACCGCAGCTACAACAGTCTGGGCTATGATTGCACTACTAAAAAATCCAAGAGTAATGAAGAAAGTTCAAGAAGAAATTAGGAGTTTAGGAGGTAAAAAAGAATTTTTAGAAGAAGATGATATTCAAAAGTTTCCCTATTTCAAGGCTATGATAAAAGAGATACTGAGACTGCATCTACCAGCACCACTACTTGTGCAAAGAGAAACAAATGAAGCATGTATTATAGATGGCTATAAAATTCCAGCCAAGACAATAGTGTATGTGAATGCTTGGGCTATCCATAGAGACCCCGAGGTATGGAAAGACCCAGAAGAGTTTTTACCAGAGAGATTCTTAGACAATACTATAGATTTTCGAGGGTTAGATTTTGAGCTAATTCCATTTGGTGCTGGTCGTAGAATTTGCCCTGGTATGCCTATGGCAATTGCTTCTTTGGACCTTATTCTTGCAAATCTTCTTAATTCGTTTGATTGGGAATTGCCAGAAGGAATGGAAAAAGAAGACATAGATACTGAAATGTTGCCAGGACTTACTCAGCATAAGAAGAATCCTCTATATGTTTTGGCTAAGTGTTCAATCTAAAAGTTTGATTAATAAAATTGTAGTAATATTGTTTGTATTCTGCCCGTGAGTATAAGGTAGGAAAATAAGGGCATGCATGTTGATATTACATATGTAGATTGTAATATCTGGCCTGTATCTTTATTTTAGCGCACTGAAATTTTGCCCCTTTTTTTTTATTGTTTGCTTCCTTTTCATAATCCTTTTCTAGCTTCTCTTCTTGGCTTAGTATTAATATTTTTATTATGTACGAAATTTATTGTAAATTTTAAATAAAAATTTACAAGAAGCAGGTTTTTTTTTTCGAACTTTCTTGTAAATTAAAATTTACATATAATTCTCTGATGAATAATAGGTTCTTATGGATTTTGAAAACCGCATGAAAATCTCCTGCAGATTTTTTCGGTAAATAACTTTTTTGTGAAAAAATTCGCATGCAGGAGACTTTTCTAGAAAAAAGTTGCAATAAATTTCATACAGATATAAAAGTTGCAAGTTTGAATGATTTGGGCACAATATATAAATTTATATTTACATTTGCATTGGAGTTGTAACAGACCCAATAGGTCATGTAGCAGTGGAAGAGGCGAGGGTTGCTGGAGCAGGACTTAATCCAAATTAAAAAATAGGAATTTGTGTTTTTTTTTATTAAATATCATTCCTATTTTATGCATTAAACATTAATTTGCAGACATTCCTATTTTATAATTAAACATAAAATGAAATAGACTTCGAGGAGTAGGGTCAGGATGACAATATACCAGGCTCGTAGGGTCGTAGGTCCTTATATTTGGTTATAATTAAATAACCCCTGATAACATAAAATAAATGAGAAAAAAGGAATAAAAAGAGTTGGAAAAACACATTCTAATTGTGTAAGTTTGATACAGTAATAAGTAATTCAATAAAATTAATTAATCAATATTTATTTAATTAACTAATATTATTAATTAAGTTAAATATTTATTTTAATTAGATCAATTCAATGTATTGAAAAAAAAAATTATATTCTTATAAATTATGTTAACTCTTAAAATATTCACTATTCTCACAAAAAAATTATTATGTATTTTTATTAAATATATTAATTTTGAAAATTATTATTGAAATAAAACTTGTTATCATATCTATAAAGTATAATATGTATTATATTATTAAATAAATTTTTATTAGATAATTTTATTTCAAAAAGTATCATTAAATTAATTAAAAGTTATTATTATTAAATTATAATATCTATAAATCATATTAACTATTACACTATTCAATAATTGTTTTTATTAGATGGCTTTATTTTGAAAATTATCATTAAATTAAAATTTATTATCATTAATTTACCGTAATATAAAATTTATAAATTTAATTAGATAAAATAAATATTTAATTAACTTAAGTTTCAAATTAAAATTAATTATAATGAGATATTTATAATTAATTTAGTAAAATAATATTTATTTTTATAAATTTAGACTCAAACGAAAATATTAATTTGTTAAAAGGATTTAAATCCTCTTCTTGAAGAGCATCTCCAGCTTCTCTCGAGCAATATTATAAATCCTTCAATTATCGTAGCTACTATAGCAATTCCCATATTATAAACTGTTGGATACATACGAAAGGTTGAGATTAAACCTCATAAATAGAAAAAGTGATTCCTGTCTCTGAGCTTCTTCTCCTGCAACGTCTTTGTAGTACTCAAACTGCATCACCAATCTTTGTTTCATTCTCCAAATTAACACAATGCTTGAAAATGCTACGGTTGACTTGAGACCTGGACAATACTATTAGCAATATCAATTTTTATAACAGTTTTAGCACGTACTAGCAGTTTATTATTTTCTTCATATATGTATGGATTTGTCCATTATATCATACGGTTTCTGATAAAAATTAGGTCACCCCCTTTAACAATTCCAATAGGTTCTCAGAAATTAATAATGGATCAGAATGTGGGCCTCCCTATCTTATGTTTCATAAAATGGCATGTGGCTTTTATTATGACAGTGGCTTTTCTGAGTTGTGTTGATAGCGTTTTGGAATTTGACGATGAGGCCAATTCCAAGAATGAAGACAACATGCTGTAAGAAGAGAGTTTTATTTTTTCCTTTCTTTAAATTTTTTTTACTTTTAGTCCAACATGGTAACATCCATTATTTTAATGTTTTTATTTATTATTGAAAAAAAACTTTTAAAATTAAATATTTTTTATTTTTAAAATCAATTCTTTTTATCAATTTAAAAAGAGTTAAATTTGTAAGTATTAACTTTTAAAATCATTTATGGCATAACTAATTTTGAAAGTGACAATTTCTTTTTAAATGACATATTTATTTTGGGAGTGTCGATTTTAAAGCAAAACTTGCAAATCAAACAATATTAGATTGTTCATATACAGATTTCATCGATTAATAAGTTCTCAATTGACTAAAATGACTATATTTCTTATGTTACTTCTTAATGAAACAAATTACATATAAATTAAATATTAAAGATAAACTCAAATAATTATATATTTATATATATTTCTATATAATCAAAAGAGATTTAAATACATGCAACATATGTGAACATAATAAGTTGAGTAAATATACCAAAATAATATATCTTATATTATGGAACATGTGTGAAATTAGAAAACATAAGTCATAACTAATCAATGTAATGTTCAATGAAAAATGTAGTTCATTACTCCTTAATGATCTTTATCTCTTCTAGCTACAATGATGATTGATATATAAATATTTGTTAAAAAAAACTAGAACAATTAGTAATAATTCGTAAAACATAAAATAAAATGAGAACTTAAAATAAGAACTTTTAAAATTGTAAAACTTACTTCAATCTACTCAAATATTATTTGTAAATCGACAATAGTATACATTGTCTTCATTATAAAGTATCTGAACTCATAGTTTCATTTTTGTTTATGAGACTAAAAAAGAATAGAAAAATAATTTTAATAGTAATCATAATTCAAAATAAAATACCTTAAAAAATATCATTGTTGGAATTAAAATAACTTATTTTAAGAGAGACGCAATGCATCTTTCTCTTCAATTTTGAACCCTTGAGTATATAGTATCTTGTAATGGCTTTGATGATAAAATGACATTATTATTATTATTATTATTATTATTATTATTATTATTATTATTATTATTATTATTATTATTATTATTATTTAAAAGCAAATGTAATGATAATCAAGTTTTAGACAACTCTCAATACAACAATTAACACAAGGACACAATTACATATTCAATTAAACATTCCACTCTAGTCTCATACTACTCACTTATGCATGTTGCATGTATACAACTTTGATTCATAGCTTCTTTTTCTCTATCAAAAACATAGATTGTGCATGTCAATACATACAAGTACTTAATCAATACGTATAAGCCCAGATACTTACATAAATTCGTCAAAATTTTGACAACATTTCACATTGGTCTCTAACTACACAAAATGAAAGTAGTAGACATCAAATAACATTACAATCAAATATACACTCAGAGAACAATATAAAATACAATAAATCAAATTTTTGTCAAATTTAAGATAAAACTTAACTTATACTAATTAAATAAGTATAAAAAAAATACTTATCTCAAACTATCTAATAGAACAATTTAAAATTCAATATAAATGATTAAATCAATTTAATCATTTGTATTGAATCTCAATTAAAAATTAAGGTTCACTCAATAAATGTATAAATTTAATATCAAACTATATAGATGCTACATACTTGATTGATTATGTAAATACTAGTTTATCTTTAACAAGTATCTACTTAGTCAAACATTGCTGAAGTGATAAATGTTGCCGGAAAATTGTTGTCAAGGCATGAGATATTTATCTTTTAAGAGTCTTTAAAAAATACAAGTATTTCATAAGTGTAGTCAGATTTAAGAAATTGTTGAAGTATTAACTGTTCAGAAAGGGATATATATATATATATACTCATGTCGCATTTTGTAGCTATGTGTTAGAATTATTAGATGGGTAGTATTGTAGCATGTGAAATGTTTTTGTCATTTGGTGGCAACTTTAATTCTAAATCATTCCTTTATAATGAGATGCCATTATGGCAACTAGTCTTATTTACCTTATGGCTAACTACTACTTACACATGATTAATAATAATCCCTGAATTTTTTAAGATTTTTTTAAGTTAAGTTTCATGATTGCATCATTGTTTATGTTAGTCAATAGAGAACTTTCTGCTACCTTGTAATTAAGTGATGTAGAGTTGAAGACTCAATTTTGTGGAAACTTTATTACTTATTTATTTATCAATGTGCTTGGGAGGATGGAGGGATATTACATTCTTAGTTGAAGATCCCACGTTATCTAGGAACAAGGTTATGTAAAGTCTACATTCGAGAAGTTCGATCTTTGGTGTAAGTTGATGTGTTGGAAATCTCATATTAGACAAATAAAGTCATGCAAACTTTACATTCAAGATGTCTAATTCTCGACATGAAGAGATGTGTTGGAGATCTCACATTAACTAGGAATAAGGTCATAATAGTGTATATAAGTGGGGAGCAATCCCTTAATCCACTCAACCTTACAAAACTAGTTTGTAAGGTAAGGATTGCTCCCCATTTATATACGCTATTTTGACCTTATTCCAAGTTGATGTGAGATATTTAACATACACCCCTCGCGTTGAGGATTGGATATCTTGAGCGTAAAGTTTGTGTGACCTTCTTCCTAGATGATGCGAAATTTCCAACACACACCCTTACACTGAGGACTGGACATTTGTGGGTATCCAATAATGGTTTAATAGCAGGTGGCCTGATAAGTCCAACAACACGAATCATTAGGATAGGCTCTGATATATGCTTTAATAGCATCTTAAAAAAATGGATTAATAATCTAACTCAACATTATAAAATTGACTTATAAGATAAAGATTATTATTTTCCATTTATATACACTATTATGGTCTTAGTTCTAGTCAATAGAAGATTTCCAACACATTCTTCTCATACTAAGGACTAAACATCTCGAACGTGAAGTTTGTATGACTTTATTCTTAGACGATGTGATCACTTCAAAATTCGTGTAGAAGTGTGCAACAAATTTGGCTGTCTAAATTAAGCATATGTCACATTGCCACATTCATTGCCCCAGCACTGCTCTCCACATCTTATATACAATCACTAGTGAAAAAAAGGCTTTTAAAATCGGTTATTTTGGACTTTTAAAATCGGTTATGGAACCGATCTTAAAAGTCTACCTTTTCAAAATCGGCTCTTTTAAGATCGGTTATCAACTAATTTTAAAAGTAGACTTTTAAGATCGGTTGATTTATAACCGATCTTAAAAGTCAAGACTTTTAAAATCGGTTATGTAACAACCGATTTTAAAAGTCTATTGAAATAAAATAAAAAAATAATTTAATATGAATCTTATAATAGTTAAATGAGTAACAAAACCTAGAGACAAATTACATCACCAAAAAAGTATTAATAGCCATTTAACTGATATAACCTAGAGACAAACTCGTTTTTTAGTAGGAAAACAACAGTAGAAAACAAAGAACAAGGTAGAAGAACACCTTCAGATTTGGAGTTCCTTTATATGTGAGCAAATTAGGGGACTTCCCTGGAAGTTTCTGTTGCTCCAGCTGAATATTTACTAATTAACATCAGATCATTATCTCAACAGGAAAGTACAAGAAGATATAATAACCAAAGCCAGCCAAAGAATTAGAAGAGCTGAATAAAGTGCCAGTACTGTAATTTTATAGTCGGCTCTAAATATAACCTGTTCAAGCTAATCTAGGTCTCTGATTGTCACTTTAACACTCTACAGATAAGAGGGTGATAATCCAGCCTCTAGAACATATATAATTTTGTATATTTAGCGGTAAAAGGTAATTTGAGAGTGACTAACAGCAAAAGAGAATATAATTATAACTGACGTTGAAGAAAAAACTCCAACCTACAAAATTTCAGGCATTTTCCGTGCTTTTCCATGTACAAAGTCGATGAGATATGCCAATCCATGATTTGCATAATCCTGCAACCACACTACTAAATCAATATTTTCTTTTGGCACATCAACAGAAGTAACCATTTTGATCCCTAGATCTTACATGCATACCAAATCATTCTAGCAATTCGTTTTTTACTCTCATCAAGAGATGTTCCATATAAAATAAACAAAATGGTCTATGACAATGACATATTCCTATTTCAAATTTGACAAGAACAGGAAAAAGCTTTACCTGTTTATAACTCAAGGTAGCCAGCCTTTCATCCTGCAAATAAAGGTGTTACGTTAAAGCTTTTACACATGAATATAAGGTATTCTGACCTCATTCTGAATTTCTGATCCCAGAGGTCACTGAATCTCACTGGCTCTCCGGCAGCGGTGAAAATGCTAACTTCACCGAGACTTTCCGCGATTTGGGGACTATAGTGGGAATTGGAAACCCTAGGAGAAATGATAGAGTGTCTTAGGGTGACAGTGACACCCTTTGAGGCAATCAATTTGGGGGAATAATTAAAGGGAGTGGCAGGGAAAGTGTAAGAATTTGAGGGAGAGATTGATGTTGGGCGGAAAGAAGGTCGCAAGGATTGCAGAGTTGCCATGGTGTAGTTCAACTCTTCAAATCGAAATGAAGACGAACCCTAACGTAGATGTGGTGGTGGAAACTGGAAACCGGAAACTGTGGAAGAAGTTCAATGTTGTCACTGTAGATGAGACTCGGACCCGAAGCACAGACCACAGAAATTTGTAAACGAAACCTAATGTTGTTCACGGAGAAGGAGAAGGGTGGCGATTTCAGGGCGCGCACAGTTTCTTTGTTCAACGTAATGCGTAACCGAGAACAAACGAACCTGAACGAAGAAGCAGAGAGTGGAGGCCGAAATTCTAGATACGGAAAAAGATATTTAAGATCGGTTATCTAAGAACCGATTTTGAATGTTACATACGAAATCAGTTCCTATATAACCGATCTTAAAAGTAGTGAAAAAGACATGATTTAAAATTAGTTAAATTGTGACTGATTTTAAAAATAATTTTTAAAATCGGTTATATTTGAACCGATCTTAAAAGTTGTGTCAGACATATATTTTAAGATCGGTCATAAAATAACCGATTTTAAAAGTACTTTTAAAATTGATTAAATTTTAACCAATTTTAAAAATGTTTATATTATTTACAAAATTGTCACCGCATCACTTTTAAGATCGGTTACTTTGTAACCGATCTTAAAATTCCGATTTTAAATCCAATTTTTGCACTAGTGAATTTAATTTCCATAAATCTCACATCATGCATATTTTCTTTTTTGCACCACTTTCCTAACGTAACCTTTTCTCCTAATTAACGTAACCTTATTGTTAACAAAAACATATTTTCAGACATGGCCATAAACAACTATTACATCTCCAATATTTTTTTTAGTGTATAAGATTAAGACATTGGGACAGAGGAGGAAGGATGCAAACTCATTGAACTATATTCAGCCTTTCCCCGGACTGACCTTGAAATGGTCACTGAAATAAGGAGAAAAGATCTAAACTACAAGACCAATTTCATGAAAGACTGCAAGACCTAAACTCACTGCAATAAGGAGAAATGGTCGGAACAAGGATAATCATGCCAACTGCCAAGGAATCCAAATATATATATATTCTAGGACGTAAAAAATACATATCCGAAAAAAATTGACAAAAGATAATGATTTTATTGTGTTTCTTGCCAAGTTCATCAATAACCCAGCTACATTAATTACCTCTCTAGAAACACTCATTTACAACAATCATGAGCAGGGAAAATAAGGTTATATAATTCAAATAGACAACTCTCCTCGTGAAATTAAATATGTGATTGCGTTTCCGTCGCTTTTTTAACCACTTCCCTTATCAAACCCACCAAACACGCTAACATGCTTCCATCACCATTCATCTGATTTTGGTGCCATTCGTCCAACAACCCAGGGTACTAGATCATTACAAGAACTCAAGTGGCCCGCTCTTGAAACTTGTTTAAAATTTGCCACATATTTTCTTTTAATTTTTATAGAATTTATTTTATAAAAAACCATTTAATCATTAAGCTTCCACATAGGATGGATCTTTTCTATGACTCTAAATGTGTTGAGTTGAACTGAACTCGATCCAACTCAATTTTACTTGATAACATTTGGCTTAACTCTCAATTCAACTCGAATTTGACATTTTTTTCTTACTCAAACTTGGTTAAATTCAAGCTTGCTAGCAGCTCAATTTAGCTTGTTAGCTCAAAACATATGAATTAAGATTCAATTTTTTTAATCTTATACATTTCAAATTTGTAATTTATTAATAGATTTTATATAAAATGATGATTGTTTATTTTTTTAAAAGAGAAAACATAACTTATTTTATTAGCTTTGTAATATTGTAAGATATGAGTCTCAAGAAACATTATTACAACTTATTAAAGTTTGTAAAAATTAAAACTACGCCACTGATCTTTTCTCCATAGTTTGGTATCAGTGATGAACTTTAAGATCACACGTTTCTAAAATGGTTGTGACTTTAAGTTCCTAGATCCTTAGGAAAATTATCCAAGATCTTAATATTATTTTGAGCTCTGAAGAATTCAGTTCCTAGGGGTTTTAAATTATTTAGAATTGTTTGGGATCTTCCAAACATTTCGTCTATAGATTCGCTTTCTTTCATGGAAAATAACTCATAGTGCCTATGAAGTGTGGCAAATCATCCGAGCCTTACATCTTCAGTACCCTCATAAGTTATCCTCATGGCATCCCATATTTTCTTAGCCATTGAACAACTGCAGAACTTGTTGTACACTATTATGGATAAGGAGCAAGCAATGATGTATCTTGTTGTAATGTTGAGCTGCAATGTTGTATTCATCCTGAGTATACTCATTCTCAAGCTTTTGGTAATAGCAACATCACCTTGAGTGATGATTCTCCAAAGGTGGTATTGGATGAATTTGATGAACATTTCCATTCAATCCTTCTGATACAAGTAGTTCTCTACATTGAAGGTAAAGGGCCTTGTAAGAGAGACTCCTTTTGGTAGGTATTGTTCTTCATTGCTTCCCATAATGGATCTTTGTCCTTTAGCACGGTTAGATGTTCGACTTTGTCAGAAGCTAAACTCTGATACCAAACCATGGAAAAAAGATAAATATTAGAAAGGAGTTGAATAATATATAAAAAAACTCGCACATTTTCTACAATGAGGTAGTATGAAGTAAGAAGAGTAGTTAGATAAAATATTGAGTATTTTTATACTGGTTCGTCTCATCGAGACTACGTCAAGTTCTCAATCAAATCAGATTGAGTTTTGCTATCTTTTGATTTTAAAACATTATTTTTAAGTTATAGAGTGGGGAAGCCCGTCAAGACCTAATGGGTCAACTCTGATCCACTTAAACCAAACTTAAAAATCATTGTCCAATTAGTCCAATTTATCATTTGATTTTAAAACATTATTTTTAAGTATTAAAATGTATTATTATTTTTTAATTATATTTGTAGAAATAAACATTTAAATTATGTTTGTGTATTGGAAAAAGAAAAGAAAATATATAAATTTTTACTATAAGTTAAAAAAATTAGCACATACGCAGGTTGAATAAGTTTTTTTTTTTTTTGGAAAAACTACTATTTTAACCTATGCGTTAACTATTTTTTAATTTGTGAGAGAAACTTATTTCATCTATTATTTTTATTATTTTATAAATATTTCAAGAGAAATTTATTTAGGTAGGACTATAATACAATAGTTTTATTCCATTACAATAGTTTTAAATGCGTTAACTATTATTTTATAAATATAAAAAGTTTCCAAATTTCATAGTTACATTCTTATGTAAGAATCAACATGTAAAGGCAAAGTTCCAACTTCATAAATCATACAACAGTGAATGAAGAAACTCACCTGTAATTTATGGCTATCACCAACAATAAGAGGTTTCTGGTTCTACTTTCACAACCTGTCAAAGAAAAAAAGTATGCAGAGATCAACTTCCTTACAACCAATTATCCAGCTATTATAATAGTAGGAGATCAGTAAAATGTCTCCCAATCACTACACTATTAAAAGGTTAGGCTTCGGACTTGTAATAGGTTTGATATTGAAACTCACAAAAAAAAAAGTTATGTTCTTCATGTTGCATTCTAGCATTCTGATGAGTCGTGTGGGATTGTCAACACTAGATGCAATAAAATTACAAATCCGTGCTAACCAAAACTTAATTTCATTAGTATTATATAATTAACAGAATATTTTTCTTGATAGAATATGAAGTCATAGAACTGGAGATTAGGATTTGGATAATTCATAAGATTCTAAACTGTCAAAGTAATTACTCCCATCATTAATCAGCATAAAGAATCATAGGGCTGAAAATTATCTCAAAACTTGAGAATGATAGAAATTAAAATCAAAGTAATTCAAATACCAAGAATTTAAAATTCCTTGAATTTGTAAAATTTCTCATCCAAACACACTATTAATGTTCTCAGATTTCTCAGATGTTCACAGAAAAATTAAGAGAATGAAAAAGAAGTAGGCAAAATTAAGAGAATAAAATTAAGGGGGTCGTGGTAATGTACCTTAATAAAGGGGGTCGGCCTTTCACCTTTCGCAAGGAAGAAGAGTGGAGAAGTAGGGATGGGGAAGAGAAGGGGCACCGCACCTTTCACCTTTCTACTTTCACCTTTGAAATTTAGGAGGGAAACTAAAAAATAAGGCACTAACAACTATTTTTTCCTTTATTTTATATAAGTATAAAAAATATTAGTTAATATAATTTTTTAAACATATTATATTATTAAATATAAATTTTTTAAATTTTTTATTTGATAAATTTAAATAACTTTTATCTTTATAAATGAATTTAATTTAAACTATAATTAAAAATAACAATAAGCTAAATAGAAATAATACTGATAAAAATATACAAAAAGATATATTATTATAATTTTAATATGATATTATTTTAAATTCCAAAATAATATTAAAAAAGATAAATATAAGAAAAAAATTATACATAGTAATAAGTTGTTGTTTTAGTTTTAAAAATAATAAAATACTGGTATTTAAAAAAAATTAAAATACATTAAAAATGAAGTGAAATATTTACTATATGCAATTAGCTTTGTTTTAAATCTCATGTATTTATTACTTTTACCTCTTATAATATTAATATTGCTTTTATTTTGAATACTTTTAAATAAAAAATTAAATTAAGTTGATTAAAATTTTTATAATTTAAACTTCTGAAACGAATATTATTTAATATTATACGTGTTTTATATTTTTTTTCAGAGAAAAGGTAAGTGTATTTTTTTCTTCACACAATTATGCAATATTTATTAGTTATAGAAAATGCATTAGTAGTAAGATAAATACTTTAAAAAGTAGTATTTCTTTTAACAACATTATAATAAAAATTTTATTTAAGATTTATTTATATATGATATAAATGTACTAAAATTACAATTGTATAAAAATATAATAATATTTGGAACAAAAAACTTATACAAACGAAAAGTATTATAGCATACTGATGTGGCAAGAGAGAAGAAAGTAAAGTTATGTTTATTGAAAAGAAACACACACACACACACACATATATATATATATAGAGAGAGAGA